TTAATATATATATAAATAAATCAGTTATTTCTTCTGGAGAAAGTCTTATTTGTTTTATTTCAGCTAGAATAAAAGTAGATTTAAACTTTTAAAAAACATTTTAAGGTCAAAATTATTAGCCCCTTTAAGCTATTTTTTTCGCTAGTCTACAGAACAAACCATCGTTATACAATAACTTGCCTAATTACCAGGGCCAGACGGAATCTGCGGACGTTTTTTGCTATTTCTGAATTTTGGTAAAAATCTGCGGATTTCTGCGGAATCATTTTGGGAGTATCCAGCAGAGTATCATAACTAAAACCTTAATATATGAAATAAAAATAATAAATTACTGAAAAAAATGAGTAAATTCAGATTTACACATTTACTCAAGTAAATAAACAGAATAAATGATGGGCTGAAAATCTGCAGAAATCTGTGGAATTCTGCATGCGCAGTTTCCGTGTGGGCCTACTAATTACCCTAACCTACCTAGTTAACAGGTAGTTCTAATTAATTAGTTAGTTCTAATAATTCAGGGGGGCTACTGAAACTAAATCAACATTCTTCAGCTTTCCATTAGCAATCGTCAAACTTAAAGTGAACAATTTCTCCCGCTCTGGAGCTTCAGTTAAGAAATCTGTGAATAAATTATAACTTTAAACATTTAACAACAGTTTTTCATATGAATTGAGTAATTGCAGTTTGTGAATTGGCAGTCGTTTCATATGAAAATCTTATTGGAACAGGCCCTTTCTTAACAAGCTCAGAGTGCTCATCATCTGATGGGTGTTTACTTTATATAAAATAGATGTTTTCTTTGCATATGTGGATTTCTTTGGTTGTTACCAACATCTCATGAAAATTTCACGTCAACGGCACCTTTAGAAATATGTTTTCTGAGAAAAATGGTGACGTGTGTGTTAGAGTTGGGCTGATAGTCGATGCCATCGTCCATCGCCGATGGCCAATAGACAACACAATGCTGAGCCTGCATCGCCGATCCTCCGCCCCGCCCCGTCGCAAACCCGCTCGCGAAAAATACACACTCAGGCCCCGTTTACATTAATACGTCTTAGTGTAAAATGGCGTTTTAGAACGAAAATGATCCACATCCACACCCAGACCGTGTTTTACCTAGCATTTCTGAACAGCCCTCTGTCCGCTGAAAACGCACATCACGAGACCACACAAACACATACACAGCCACACACACACACACAGCCACACACTGTCATGTGCGCCTTTGAGCTCCAGAGAGCAGTGCACGTCAGACAGTTTATCAAGGATGTACCGCTGGATCGCGTCTCACTATAGCTGTTAAACCTGATATTCAGACATCCCAAGTCCCCTGGAAGTTCCGGGAGTCTCTATGCATTTGTGGGACTCATATTACCCGCAAACATCGCGCGTCTCCCTCCTGGTCCTCAAATAAGTCGCCTACTCTTCTCACCCCCGGATCCCTTCTCGCTCTTCAGACACGTCGCGCACACTCTATCGAACCCCACGAGTTTCTCCCAAAAGATAAGACAATGTACAAGAGACATCATTTTGATGAAGAAATATTTATCAGCTTTTATTAACATTTACAAACAAAAACTTTGGCAGAATTTGTCAGAGATATTAATAATTTGGGGCTTGACTGTACATATTTAGTAGGGGTGTCAAAGTTAACTGTTTCTTGGGTGCACCGTGATGCAGACGTGGACAATGCGATATCAGTTCAGTAATACATGATAACCGGTTATTACAAACTGACATCGTTTATCTCATATGCACTAAAGCGAGCGCGAGTAATTAAAACATCCTAATATTTAAAAACACAGAAACTCTGCTGGAGCCAGAGCATTAGAGCCAATCACAGCCCTTTCTGTTGAGTGGTTGACCTTTCATAGGGGTGTAACAACTCGACAGTGCTCATAAAGCAAATAAACTCATTGTTTATTTGCTGTAAATGCTCATGTTCCTTCTTGCATAAAATAAAAAAATATATAAAAATGATATATATGTATTTATATATATAATAGTAGTCTTAAAGAGAATTAAAAGAGGTCCTCATTATTTTTCAGTCGAATAATTTGTCATGTATTTGATTAGATGAAACAAGCGTTGTGAATACAGCACCATCTTGTGTTCGACGTGTTGTTTACACTCGATTCAGGCATGCGCACATCAATACCGCATCATTTTTGTGATACTGTTTAACAATTACTATTTTTGCGTTACTGTCAGCGGTAGGTTTGGGCTTGTAGAGGTTTGCATTAAAAAACGCTATTCAATGGGTAATTTAATTATTAATCTGAATTATTCTCGTTAATTCACGACCGTACTTGAATGAATCCCTGCTAGCAACATCTTTTCAGTTTTCGGGGGCGAGTTCCTCTGCTATTCATTGTTTGTCTTTCAGATGTTTTGGATTTAACAATTATCTGAATATAATTCAATATTTCTTTCAATAAATAAAAAATCACCCATATTTTGTATTTCAGGAGTTCAGTAACTGAAAGAAAAAGAAATCAATTGGTAAAGACTTGAATCTGATGGAGCAGATTTGCCAAAAAGTGCATGTTAAGCATTTTGTCCTATAAATCCCTGATGTGGCTTTTAATGCATGTCTGTTATATTACTCAAGGCAAGAATTTACTTCTGTCACGCTTTAAGAATAAACAGTAAAAGGATACAAACAATGTGTCGATGTGTGAGGCATATTCAGTATATCAGGCATGCAGCAGAGTAGAATACCGGGGTAGATCAAGCGACAAAAATTAGCACCAAGTTCTCAGACGGGTGCTCAGGCTGGACATTTTCCCCATTGATTATGAAATAGTAATGAAATATGTACAAACGTAGTACAAATATGTACATCTCACATCTCTTTTTGAAAAAATAAAATAGAAATGAGAGAAAGTATGTTAAAATCACAGGTATAAACAGTTGCAAGAAGTAAAAAAGAGTAAATAAACATATAAAACATTCAAATTATTCATTGTTTTTTGTAGCTTTTCTTTTTCTAGTGTTACACAGTGTAGTATTATATTGTTTAATCTTATTAAACATCATTGGAAACTTCTAATTTCATTAAAGGTTGTTTATTGTGGACGAATGTGCTTTACATTTTTAAAATACACAAACAAAAAATTTAAATATTCGCACTAACAAAAACACAATACTGTTCACTGAACCCAACAAGGGCCTCCTAAGGCATCTAACAAGTATTTATACAGTGGTTCTCAATTCCAACCCTCAAGTCTAAACTGTTCTTTAAACTGGGATTGTCAAAGTTTGAACAATTTGGAGTCTCTAAAGTTTGTCTGCAATGTTGACTGTACCAGGAGGCAAATATATATGAACAACAGATCTGACAATGTTCACTTGTGTGATGTTCACTCACCATTTTAACCATGATAAAGAAAAGCTGCAATCGCACACTGGAGTCCAATCGCACACATTCATACTTCTGTTTTTAGAGATTTTATTTTGCTCAGTGTACTGTTAGTCAATTGAGTCTACAGTTTAACAATGTCCAGTCTGAAACTCTGCTCTTTAAATAAAATATTAGCCCAGTACACTATTTGTTGTGTTAGTATATGATACTGTAATATAAAACAACACATTGTCTAACAGTAAAACCTTCTCTGTGCTTCCATTTGGCTAAACAGACTCATAGTAAATCATAGTAAACACAGTAAATGGCACTACTGGTTTGTTATAGAGATTCCTTCACCCTATAATGAATATCCTGTCATCTTTTACTCAGCCCTTACTATGAGTTTCTTCTGTTATACACAAAAGAAGATGTTTTGAAAAATGCTGGAAACCTGTAACTATTGACTTCCATTGTATTTGTTTTCCTACTGTGGACATCAATGGTTACAGATTTTCAGATTTGTATCTTCTTCAGTGTTCAACAGAGGAAAGAACCTCATCGGTTTAGAAACACGTGAGTAAATAGTTGAGGGAGAACTCTCTCTTTAATTGAGTAAGGAGTCATTTAGAAAACTCACAGAAATGATGATCAGAGCTTCAGTTTGATTCACAGGATTTTATTTGACTTATTAGCCAACAATACATAAAAGCAGTTCATCACAAAACAATTCAAAGAACAATTCATTACAAAACAATCATGAACACTTCATTATAAAACAATCAGTCTCTCTTATGACAAAACACCAGATTCATTAATGAGGGAGAAAATAGTCGAGCAGATCTTTGATGACACTTTAGAGAAGAAAACTGTGACAGCACTGGAGTTGAAGTTCAGTTCACTGAAGAGCAAATCCATCGATGCGCAGCTCCACAAGTCCCAACCAAGCAAGCCAGCAGCGACAGTGGCGAGGAACAAAACTTCACTAATTGACAAAAGTGAAGGAAAAAACCTCGAGAGAAACCAGGCTCGGTTGGGCACGACCATTTCTCCTGTGGCCAAAGGTCTTGTGCAGAGCTGCAGTATTTATTCACCATTATTGTCATTAATTGCTCACCTCATGTCCTTAGATCAAATTCATGTTTAGTTCATATTGAGAACACAAATTAAAACATTTGAGATGAAATCTGAGAGCTCTCTGACCCTCAAACCGCACGTCCAGAAGAGCGCAGTGCACTGTATGTGTGTCGCACTGCTGACGTTTAACCCAGAGGCCTGCGCGACTTCCTCTCATTTAAACAAAGCGTGGGCACATCTGAGGTAAACGTCAGCAGTGGACACACACACAGTGCAGGACAGAGCTCTCATCAACACACTGACACTGAACAGTAAGGTCTGAGGGGTTTGGAATGACATGAGAGAGTAATTAATAACTTTAACAGTCTTGTGAAATTTCTGGAAATGCTGCTGTTCTCCTCTTCGCTTCTTTAGTGTTTTCTAAAATGAAGAAAAACAACACAAAGTTATTTAAGCAGTGATATGAAGGGCTGTCAAAGAAGACTTGTGACTCTAAAAAGAGCAGAAGAGGAAAGAACAGGAATAGCATGAAGCAAAGAAAGACTGAAGATGTAGTTTTGTGCTCGGTGTGTTCCTCTACCTCCTCTTGTCTCACTGCTGCACAGGATTTGGGCTCGTTGGATTGAACCACCGGTGCTCTTCTAACTGATGTAACTGCAGTCGCTTCTCTGGATTGCGGACCAAACACTGGGAAATCAGGTCCAGGCAATCTGAAAAGTGACAGAGAGAGTGTGAAATATGTCTGCATACTCAAGATTCATGAACGTGTTTAAATCTCACTACATCAAATTACAAAACAAACGATTGTTCAGAAGAGTCTGCTTACCTAAAGATAAGGTGAGGTCTGTCTGGAGGTCTCCAACGATTATCGAATGCGTGTCGTAAAAGGCCAATCGTGTATGCAATATTTCATACAGGATGAGGCCTAATGTCCAGACATACGCCGGGTTAGGAAAGAATGTGGGATCCCTCAGAACCTCAGGCGGTGTGTAAAGTAAGGCTCCTGTAAGAGAGACATTTTCAGAATTCAGTCATTTCATAAGACAATACTGTGACCAAAGAAACTCCCACAAAATGCCCACTCACCTCGATAATCACTGCTGTTGAAAGGCTCGCTGGTAATTAGCCGAGCACAACCAAAGTCAATCAGTTTGAGCTCTGATCGGGGTTGAGTCACCAGGATGTTCCCCGAGTGCATATCTCCATGGAAAACTCCACGCTCAGCGCAGAACTTGACAGCTTGGATCAACTGACGCATTAACCGGCGTGCGTGGTTTTCATCAATGTCCAATGTACTTCTGACGTAATAAGCCAAGTTCTGGGATGACTCGGCGTACTCCAGAAAGAGAACGAAGTCGTTCTTATTCTTAATCCAGTGGTGTAATGTGATGATGCTGGGACAAGGTGGGTCCTTCATCAACTTAAGCATGATTGCCACTTCTGCAAGCACAGGTTTGGAATGACCATCCTAGAAAAAAAAACAAAGATTTCAAAGATATTACCAAAGCAGAATGGCACAAAGTACAGAAACACAAACTTCACAAAGTAAATAATCACTAAGCTCCTGTTTGGACACATGTTTGCTGGTATTTAAGCATTTAGTCATGCAGTTTAAGCTAAAAGAGGACTCTACATGTGTGTGTTCTGTCTGTGTGTATGACGCAATGATCATTTTTATCTGCATTAATGTTAAATGAATATTAATTAACTCCACAGCCCTACATTCATGTGTTCAAAACTAGTCTCTGGCTTTATTTCTTCTGCTGAACACAAAAAAAGATATTTTGAAGAATGTTGATAAACCAGTAAGCAGTGACTTCATAAGTATTTTCTTTATCTACAATGGAAGTCAGTGACTCTGTTTCCAACATATCTGCTTTTGAGTTCAGTTTAAAGTGGTCCAGACAGGTACGGGACAAGTGAAGGATGAGCAAATGGTCAGCACATTTTCACTGTTGTGTAAATTGTTCAACTTACAATGTCGAGATAACGGTCCTGTTTACGCTTCTTGATGTACTTCAGGGCAACCTGCGGAAAAACAACAACAAATGAAATTAAAGCCGACAAATGATTTATATTGAGTAATCAGGAGGAAAATGTTGACTGAATTTGAAAAATAGTTCTCTACCTTTGTTCTCTCATTAAATACGTGAGATCCCAGATACACCTTGCCATAACTTCCTTCTCCAATCAGGTCTTTCACTTCAAAAAGACCCACCCTAGATCCTGAAACACAGAAAAACAGCAGGGAGATTTACTTGCATTGTCTGGTGTGAAACGGATCAAATAAATGACTCGAATCCTTTAAATCTGGATCTAATGCAATGAGCTGAAAGCAGAAACTTCCATCAGAATTGCAGGAGTAAACTGATTACTAATTTATAATAATAAAAGGAAATGATCACTTACCAAGAGTGAGCCCAGAAGCCTCATTAGGCTCCTCAAGAACTGACTCTGACTCTGACTCAGATTCAGACTCGGGCTCAGACTCGGACTCGGACTTGGACTCGGGCTCGGGCTCGGGCTCTGGCTCTGGCTCTGGCTCGGGCTCTGGCTCAGGCTCAGGCTCAGGCTCAGGTTGAGGTTCAGGCTCAGGTTCAGGTTCAGGCACAGGCTCTGGCTCGGGCTCAGGCTCGGGTTCAGGTTGTGGTGTAAGATGCTGGACTACATCCGTGTCACAGCACAGGAAAGGGCGTGTTGCAGCCTTCCATACTCTCTTGAAGAAAGCAGAGACTCTTTTGCCTTTCTTTCCTTTCTTGGGTTTTTCTAAAATGAAGAAAACAAACAGAAACATCTCCATGAACAGAGCTGCAGCTACAGCGCTCAGCATATTCATATATGCAGTACACCCCATTTAGAAAATTAATGTTTTTATCCATTTCTCAGTGAATCTGGGTAATATATATTGGTGCATTTGAACAAAACACATTTATCAAACAGATTTATTTATTAAAATCATAATTTAGTCACAGAACATCTTTAGAAATGGAAAGATAATACAATTAATATCATGCAAAATATTGCAAAATTTACAAACTACAACATTTCAACAAAATTGTCAATATTTTTTGTTTCTCTTTGATTTTTGCTAATTTAAAAAAATTTAATTTAATATTTTCCCTGAACATATACATTTGGGCTACTCATTTTTGAACCATTATTTAGTTATTTTGTTAGATAAGCTCCAGATTTGGCTTCAGTTCTGACTAAACTAATGTACATGCACAAATATAATATTATAAAGCCTCCTATAGAAAATCTGAATTTACATGAGAGATTTGTGGGGGGTGCACTCATATATGTTTAGCACTGTATTAATTAATACACAACCAACAGTACATCAAATGACACTGTCTGATTTATAAGCTAAAAACAACAAAGCATAAAAAATAACAGACGGCAGAAATAAAATGAACCAAATTCAGGATGACTCACCATCAGTCCCATCAATATCAGAGGGGTCTTGAACAGACGGAGGCGACTCAGGACAGGCCGAATCTGCATCCGTCATGTTCTTAATATTGGAGAGGTCATGGACACTGATTGGCTGGGGATCTTCCCAGACCTGGCCTGGCAGACACACCAGCTCAGTATCAACATGACCTGTGAGGGCCGTCGAGGACTCTGGACGGGCCGGATCTGCATTCGGCACATCTGCTGTTTGCTCGATGCTGAAGGGGCCCGGAACACTCAACGGCTGAAGATCTTCACAGACCTGGCCTGGCTGCCACACCGGCTCAAGGTCTGCATGTGCTGCGACGGTCCTGGAGGGACCTGGAACAGGCAGATGCTGGAAATCGTCGACATCTGACCGTGGTTCAAAGGGAACCACTCTGTTCCGGTCACAGCAAAGGAAAGGGCGCTTCACAGCCTTCCATGCTCTCTTAAAGAAAGCAGAGGCTTTATTCCCTTTCCTCCTTTTCTCTGTGTTTTCTGAAATAAAGGAAATGAACAGGGAAATATTAGAAAACTCTTTAATCACAGGTTTAAAATAAACACACTGTTGTAAATGAGAAATATGAAAGACAATCACACAAAAGAAACAACAACAATAAATGTACAATTATAATAGAAATTTTTTTTAAAACTAAAATTAATTATGTGGAATTGCAAATAATTTCTATGATGTAAAAAATGACAAACACAAGCTGACAAATAGTCGGTAAGTCATAAGACCATATTAGACATCAGGAAAAAACCTAAAAGCAACTATTTAGCAAAAATATTTTTCTGTTATATTATTATTAAGGAGAAAGTCAGAATGTGTGAATATAAAACCAACTTTACCTCAATTGTATTAATTCATCCCTGCTTGAACAAATAAAGACTTAAATATAATATTCTCACTCAGTTTGCTAAAATATAACAAATATTCCTCCACACCATCAAAAACTAAGAAAATGACTGTGCAGGTCTACACGAAGGATTTAAATTAAAGTAAAATTAAAATGATTTTTATCAGAAACATTAACAAGGCACAATTTCTGTTGAGTGGAAAGGAGAAACTTAAAAACCAGAATGTCATTACATATAAGAGCAGGGCTCTATCACAAAAATATACAAAACCATAACTACACACACAAAAAACACATTACAATGAAGAGACGTTGCATATTTGCTACACTAATAACCTTACATGGCAATATATAAATATTATTTTACTTTTAACTTCATAATTTACTGTATTATTAAATAATACGTGGGAATACACTGTTTTTGTAAACTCTCATCTCACCTGTTGGGCTTCTCATCACGGTAGAAGGTGAAGGAGAAGCCATCGTGTCACTTCGATGATTTTCGTTGACAAACTCAGTCGTGATCGTATTAACTCGGTTAAAAAACGCAGCTGACGTGTTATTTGCCATTTGAGATGCAAAACAAGTCGCTAAAGTCGTTAAATCAATGTTCACTGTACTCGTTCGTTTGTCACTCTGAGGAAAATCTGAATTCTGTCCAGTGACGTAACGGCAGTCGAATTCGTTCTATTTATTCGTCATCGGTGGTTCTCCTGAGATGCAATTATCTTCCTGGAAAATTGCCACTTAAATTGTCCAAATTTCACCAGCAAGTATTATTGGCTTGGAAAAAAATTTTTCAGCATAACTTTTCTCCTCATAAAGTTCTCTTATGGAATAATTATCTCATTACCTCTAGAAACAAATCTTTATTTTTACATAAATGGTATCAAAGAAACATATATTTTGTTACAGATTTGTTCTATGATAATGGAAACATACTATCTTATGAGGATTTTATGAGGATACATAACTTTCCAATTCCTTTTAAAGAATTTCACCAAGTGGTTAAGGCTATTCCAGCTGGCTTAATACAACTAATTAATAATCACCTTTCTTATGGAGGCGTTAAAAAGATACTCCCAGAATTAAAAATTGACGGTGTTGACATACTTTCTCCATCATATAATAATAAAAAAATTAGACAAGTCTTTCAATCTAAACACAAAATATCCCCTAGAGGGAAATATTATTGGAATGAAAAAATTATTAATATTAATTGGAAAGCTACCTGGTCAATACCCTTTAAATTTTGCCTTTTAAATAAGGTTAAAGAAGTGCACTTTAAAATACTTTACAAAATGTATCCTTGCAAAGCAACTTTATCTAAATTCATGGATATTGAGAGTACTTGCACATTTTGTAATATACATGAGGAAGACTTATCTCATCTTTTCTATAACTGTGATGCCTCTCGTAAATTTTGGAATGATGTTAGTGACGTGTTATTTGGGCAAAGAAATGTTAACTACAGGCTATCTTTAAAAGATGTGATTTGCACTTTTTCACACACAAAAAGAACATTCGAGTATGTTGTTAACTTCTACATTTTACAAGGTAAATATTTTATACATAAACAGAAATTTGCGAAATGTGTACCAAAATGTAATATTTTTTTATTAGAAATGGAAAATCTGAAAAAGTCTCTAATGCAAATTAAAAACAAAAAGAATGATTTAATGTTAGTTTTCATGAAGGAATTTTTTTCTAGTTCTGATCCCCCGCTGTAGTCGATGATTGTATCCTAAGTTGTTATTTTAGTTTATATGTATAGAAGTATTTTGTAATATTTGTATTTTTTTTTTCGTTTTATTTATTAAAAATGTTTTTTTTTTCTTTTGAAACTGTTTATTACATTTTTTTCCTGTTATATATTACTTCATCATTTTTGGATCTTGTAACTATAGTAATGTTTATGGATATAATATATATCTGAATTATTGTATTTTTATTTTATGTAATGTTTCAAAACTATAATAAAAAAAAATAAAAAAATTCGTCATCAGTGGTGGGGACCAGTGGTCCATGTCCCACATGGGTGAAGAAAGAGGAGGTGAGTGTTTTTAGTTTGTTATTAGTTTATCATTGGTATGTCACTGTTTAATGCTGTACGATGTTTGACTAATATGAAAAGATCACAGAAGTATCATGAAACAAAAAAATATATATTTATTTGATTAAAAATAGATATTGATGTATGTTTATATCAAAACCCATTATAATGATGAAAAACTGCTGAGTTGCTCAATAAAAACTGCAAGTTCCAAGTGAAAAAAGTGACCAGTGAAAGTGTTTGTTGTGTGTGATTTATCTTTTAGCTTCAAACCACTCCAGACTCAGGGCCCTAGCATTTTAGAGAAATAAGCTGCAGGATAAAAAGTATATGTTTATATATATATATATATATATATATATATATATATATATATATATATATATATATATATATATATATATATATATATATCAGTACCGTCGCTCCCTACACGCAGAGTACGCAGGCTGCGTAGAGCCTCAACTCCAGAGGGGGGCACCATCTCGGTTGCTCAAATTTTTTTTATATTTATTTACTGATATCAACATAAACTGAGTTTACATCAAATATATATTGATAATAAGTTGTTAAATACGTTAAAAAAATTATTTTAGGACGGACGCATTAACAAACATGTGACGTAATTTTTCCGCGCACGCGGCTATCCTTGCGGCTGCCAGCTGCATATAATTATAATAGATGCAAGTTGCAGGTTCATGCCCGGGAAAAGACAACAGCCGTCTGGAGCCGAGAAGAGGAAGAGAGTACAATATGAATCGCGTGCATCACTTTCGGGTAACTGCCATGAATCTGGAAAACTTATTTTTGGTTATTCAAGTATACTAGTGAGGCTAACGTTTAAACTTCGCCACAACTGCTATGCATTGTGCTTTAGACAGGACATGTTCTATGACTTTTGGCGTTTGCCCCTGATAATTACACAAACTCAATTATTGTTATTAACTTGTGCAGTACAATTCTGCTTTCACACCAACAACTGTAAATACACATGCACTGCACAATTACTTCACTCTATGTATTATTTATTATTATAGTTATTATTATGTATATATTATATATATTGTATATTGTATATATGTTATATATTGTTTCATTCTTTTGCAGACTGCAATTATTATTGTTTATTGTTTTATCTATTTCTTTACATTTCTTATTGTTGCTGTTGTTATTGCTTGTATCATTGCAATGACAATAAAGTCTCTTTAGTCTTTTTTGTACATTACAGTTTGAAATAACAAAACTGAGTAATATTCTGTGATTTCTGAAAGATCAATAATATAAAATGAGTAAAATTACGGTAAATCACTGGCCAGAAACCATTTTTATTGCATGAATTCATTAATGATTATTTTTTCTGAATGTTATAAAGTTGTTTGGTTTAAAATTACAGCAATTTATTCTTGAAAAACACAAATGTCTTTGATTTATACCGAAAGCAAGGGTCAGCTATTGTCAGCATAGATTACAGTGTAAATGAAATATTTTGGTTGTAGTTTGTAAACATTATGAAGAGTGCTTGACTAGCCCGTTGTTTTAATGGTATGTCATGAGTTTTTCTTTAAATGACTAATTTCTTCTGTATTGTACATGGAAGTCAATGCTGCTGAAGTTTGCCACAAAAGAAGATGAGGTGGCCTGACCAGCACTGCTCCAAAGACACCAGCAGCTGCACAGGTAAAAGTACAGGATGCAGCACTGAGGACCGTCCATCTCTACAGGTACAGACAGGGTTTATCCCTTATCTTTTGTAAATGTTTGAAATTGGGAATGCTTCTGCAGAAGACATGTCAGTATTTATTTTGATGTAAACTATTATTTTGTAATGCAAATATGTGAATGTTTAAGTATAACTTGAGTCTTTATATGCATAATTATGTACATAAATAGATAATTACGTTTAAATCTTTGTGTGATTTTATTCCTCTGTGGGGGCACCACAGTAAAATTTTGCATAGGGCACCCTTTTGGCCAGCAGCGGCCCTGATATATATATATATTTCTCTTTACCATAGAAAAGATTTCTTCAACACATTTCTAAACATAATAGTTTTAATAACTCATTTCTAATAACTGATTTATTTTATCTTTGCCATGATGACAGTAAATATTATTCGACTAAATATTGTTCAAGACACTTCTATCCAGCTTAAAGTGACATTTAAAGGCTTAACTAGGTTAATTAGGTTAACTAGGCAGGTTAGTGTAATTAGGCAAGTTATTGTATAATGATGGTTTGTTCTGTAGACTATCAAAAAAAAATTTACCTTAAAATTAATTTAAAAAAAAATAAAAACTGCTTTTATTCTAGCCTGAATAAAAC